CGATACCTTCTTATTTCTTGATTTTTCTCTGCTTCTTCTCTTTCCTTCTGCTTGAATTGTTGATGATAAACTTGTGCTTCTCTCTCCTTCTCTTCAAGACTTTGAATAAGAGCTTGTACGGTTTGCTCAATATCGGCTGTATCTCCTTTTCTTGGATTCTGGAACTCGTCCAACCATAATCTTCTTCCTGTCTGTAGTTGCTGCTGATACTTCTTCTTGTATTCTTCATTATTCATACCATTGGTATCTAATGTATCACCTACTGTCCACTCTCCTTTACAGTTAGTAACTAAAATACAATATTAATAATAATTTTAATTAGAGGGTGTGGATCTAATGCAACATTAAATACGTCAAAGAAAATAATTAAAATTAGGTATTTAATAGTATTCATTGGTGGGTGTGGCTAATACACTGACCTAGTTCAGTTAGCATAACAATGTTAGGATTAGCAATTAATGCCTCTGTCGCATTAACATATCCTCCAGCAGTTATCATCCAGACACAACGAGGACTCATGACAAACACTGAGAGAGAATGACACAATCTCTTACAAACGGAGTCAGGTACATCTAACTGTTAATAGAAATAAATTAATAATTTACATGTATCTCACTGTACAGATCAATTATTAATAATATCTAACATACCTTTATCCAGGAATGTTGAGTGATGTTAAAGATCCAACAATCATCTAATATATTACCAACCGTATTCACCAACCCACCACTTATCACTAGCATAGGACAGTCTGATCCAGTTATAATAATAGCACCTGCATGAAAAAATCTACCCACAGGCCATTGGTCTATTGCTTCAGGTTTCTTTATACACTGCCAGAACTAAAAATAAAATAACCACACTAGAGCTGGGCGATAGTTTTGAATATATTCACTATCGCGATAGTATAGAAGCTATCGTGATGTGATAGTAGTATTTAAGCTATCGTGATAGTGGATCTAGCCAGCCAGTCTAGGCATGCTCTGTGCTATAACCACATTTTTAGCCATTAAGTGTTATAGTCATGGCAATGGTAGCAATTTAAGAGTGATATTTGGTAGAGCTTTATACAAGTGTTCAGTGAAGTGGGCCATGTTGTAAATGAACAACGATTATGCTCACTAGTTAAACAACACATCAAGCAATAATAAGTACATAACAATATGCTACATTTATTGCATTGCTGAATTTTATTAATTTTAATTTAAAATTAATAAACTAAACACATAAAAGCTATTATATCGTGATAGTTTCACTATCGGGATAGTAATTGAGGCAAATATCGTGATAGTGATATTATCACTATCACCCAGCTCTAAACCATACCCATTAACATGCCATTAGTGTGTGTGTGTGTGTGTGTGTGTGTGTGTGTGTGTGTGTGTGTGTGTGTGTGTGTGTGTGTGC